ATATGGTCCCTCAGTTATCCACAAAATCAAAATCTCAAACCTGTATTTCTGAGATTGTAAATGTCACCCCTCAATTGTCCAAAATGTTGTAAATGTGGTCCTTTTGAGGGGTGAAATATACAATATGGACGAGAGTACATTTCATCACTTAAAGGACCACATTTACAACAATATGGACAATTGAGGGGATAACTGAGGAACCATATATGCGATTTCCCATTAGTTAAATAGGTAATGCTTTTTCCAGGGAATGAAAATTAATATCATAAAAAACTGTATTATTAATTTTAAATATTATTATAAAATAAATGTATGTATGTGTATTTCTCTCTCTATGAATGTACACATGTACAAATTATGAATGTACACATGTACAAATTCCTCTACACACACATGCATGCGCACAAACACATACACATGCATGATACATAAATGTATTAATGCAGGTAATTTATAATAGTATATAAATTTTAAGGGAAAAGTACGGAAAAAGTACTTGGTGTTGGGTCCATTTTTAGATAGGGTCATGTGTTTCATTCTTTATCAAAGTAGTTCATGTGTTTGAATTTCGTTATCACAAAAGGGTCACGTCGTTAAAAACGTCTGAAAAAGACCGTTAAAAGTAACTCCGATTTTCAAAAGTGCCCGAAAAGTTCAAAGAAAATTACCGAAAGGTGCGCCTCGTCAAGATGATCTCCAAACCTCATTCGCATTTGGATTTTTCAGATCTGTTTGAATTATTGCTTAAAAATGATTTCGCTAATATCACTTTTCCGATGGACTCTCCGGTGACAAGGGTGGCTGAAAACAAAAAACAAAGATGGCATAGCGGTCGTCTTATTGATGCACACCTTCCAGTATTTTTCTTTTACTTTTTCGGGCACTTTTGAAAATCAGGGTTACTTTTAACTTCAAACGTTTTTAACGGCGTGACTCTCTTGTGATGACGGATTTCAAACACATGAACCACTTTAATAAAGAATGAAACACATGACCCTATATGAAAATGGGCTCAACCACAAGTACCTTTTCCGTACTTTTCCCAAATTTAAATTAGTAATTTAAAGGATTAAATGGTTAACAGCTTAACGCTAACTTTATCCAAAACAAACTCTGCGGTTATTGGGCATGTGTGTGTAGTTGTAACCATTTCATAACACTTAAATATACGTAGTAACAGTTATTTCCCATCTCGTACTATGTTAGTGCTGTAGGCCCTGATTTAACCAGATAAATCAAGTGCTGGTATGCAACACATCGAAAATAATTGCCATCTCTATGTGTAATACTATCCCTTTTGTGAAACAGTTTCTTTTTTTCAACTTTAATTTTTCCTGGAATGATCTTCATGTATCAGTACTAAGAAATGAATGTGTGGTTGGCTATTATTTGATTTGTTTCACTTACTCCATCCAATTTTGATCATACTTATATTTTCAACCTCATTTCTTAATAAACATGCCAAGTTGAGACTTGAGACTGGAAGGTTAGTTTGGGACGGAGGGAGTATTAACTTTCATGTAGTTTCTAATCTAAATATATACAATTCGTTACCAGGCTAAAAGGATGTCATGCTTCAAAGGGGTTTTCATCCTAAAAACAAGTTCCATATCATGTAGTTTGCCAAGAAGAAATCACAAGCTCATAATGAAATATATAACCTTCTTTTTTTAGTTGCAACGTGGATAATTTTTACACTATTTACATGCTCTACTTTTACTAGATTTTATTTTTTAATGTATGAGAATTTTGTTTGGAAAAATATTGTTGAATTTGTCTCATTACAAATTTTCACAATCCGATTTTTGATTTTTTTACTAATAGAGAGTTAAATATAATGACGGTTAAAGTTGTGCATTGGGAAGTATATGCTTTCCCATTCATCATTTTCATTTACACCAGTGCCGCAAAGGCTCCCACCTACGGTGGGGTAAGGAGGGTCGGATGTACGCAGTCTTATCCCTATACTAAAGCACAGAGAGACTATTTCCGGATGACACATAGTGAAAATCACGTCCAAAATTGCATGGACTGCTTGATGCTTCATAACAAAGAAGTGCAGACAGTTTAGTGAGCCATTTTGCTTTATTCCATCATAATCTCAAGCCAAAAAATAATGAATCTTTGGCTCCATTGCAAATGATGGAAAATGTTGCAACTAAAAAAGAATGGAGGAAGTATATGCTTTCCCATTCTCAAAAGTTCTCCATTAAGGTTTTTGGCTTTGGTTTTAAGCTGATAGTTTATTTTTGTCCTAAATTGAGAATCATGTCCATCTTGATTTCTAATCTAGGTAATTAGAGTAACAAGAAAAGGTTTAATTCATATGTGAAGATAACTTAAACCATTTTACTATGTTTTACTTTATTGGGGTTTGCTAACTGGCCACTTGTTTGTGAGCGAAGTGTTCTATCTGAGGGTGAAACCTATGAAGCAATTCCCTTGGAACCCCATTCCCGAGGGCAAAAAAAATTACTAATACAAAAGAAATTGGGGTCATTTTGATAATGTGTATGGACTAAATGTTGAAAAAAGGGTTTATCGAAGCGAAGTGTTCTGAGGGTGAAACCTACTAAGCAATTCCCTTGGAACCCCATTCCCGAGGGCAAAAAAATTACTAATACAAAAGAAATTGGGGTCATTTTGGGAATATGTGTATGGACTAAATGTTGAAATTGCAAGTCCTGCAACTCACGCACATAATATTGATAGTGCAGGTATTTGGGAAGTTTAACGAAGGGAACGTAACGGGCATGGTAGACCCTTTGATGAAGGAAAAGATAGACAGGGAGATATTGGTGAGAATGTTTGAGTTGGCAATTCAATGTGCAGCGCCTACCCGGACGGATCGCCCAGATATGAAGACAGTCGGAGAGCGGTTATGGGAAATTAGACGTTTTAGAACAGAGTACTCAAAGGGAGTGAAAATGGTGTAACACAGCTGCAGATTTGTGTCTTGTATTATGCTGTAAAAAGAGATCATCAGTTCCGAAGGTACCATAGGGATTAGAGGGCCTTCTTGTAATGCAGCATGGTTTGTTCAATGTCATTAGAGGCCTTTGCCATGTGGGGGAAGTAATCCGCACTCATTAAACAAAATTCATCATGTCTGTAGATGGTAATATTGTGCTGTAAACACTTCCACTTGTCCCTCATATTATAAATATGTCATTGTGAAATGTGAATGAAGCGAAGGGAATTATAATAAATAATAATAAAAATAATAATAAAATCTCAGAAACTCCCATTTAATATAGTAATAATGTTTTCAAAGCATCATTATTACAGTAATAACGAATAGCAACAAAAAACGATGAAACACGAAATTGAATTAGTAAAATGAATGATAATAATAATATAAACTTTGCATCTGTAAATGGGAGTTTCTCACGAGTATTTTCTTATTTTCACCATTAATAATTTATCATCCCATTTTGAAAACATTTTTTTTGGAAGAAATCGGCTTATATTGATAACAGATAATTCAGAGTATGAGTCAAATGACAAAAAGATATCTGACAATCGCTATCCCGTGAACCAGATTCGGAATTAATCACCTCCGAAGAAGCAATATAATTCGTTGATCCAAAAGTGGGAAACTTAAAGGCTTAAAGCCATAAACGGTCACCATATTCCCCTCATCCCTCACATCCAAAGTCAACGTCTTACAAATAGGAACATAAACGAAAAAATAAACAACAAAGCAGACAAAATAATCTCTGGAACAACACACAAAACAAAAATTTAAGAACTTCTAATGCATCCAAAAAACTCGAATCGTTTCTCGGACCTGCGGCTCCCATCTTTCTCGAATCGTTTCTTGAATAATCAAGAAAAGTTTGTATTGCTAACATGGTGTCGTGTTTTGTTTTTAAATAGTTTTTATTCAAAATGTTTGTCTCATTAAAAATTTGGTCATATTTTACTGCTCAGAATATTATTAACTTTACGGATTTATTTTTAGTTACACAATTTCACTCCTTAGTATTTGTGAGAAACTCCCATTCAATTGGCACAATTATTATTATTATTAATCATTTTACTCACTCAATTTCATGCTTCGTAATATTTTGTTGCTATTTGTTATTATTAGCAAGTTAGCAACAAAATATCAAAATCGACCGAATCTGCTCATAATTAAGCTTGATAAGCCTAAACATGCTCACCAAAGAGGCTATTAGTATCAACCTTTTAGAAACTGTTATACCAATAAGTACAGGCTAGTGCTTTTTAATCTATAAAAATATAATACTTCTTGTTTTGTGACCCTCAATATTACTTTTTCATTTTTATCCTTCTAATTTATGTTTATTTTCTTTTTAGCTCTTCATCGGTCGTAACAACATCCCTTTGCGGACAAATATTTTGGGGCTAATAGAAGTTCCATCATTCTTTATTTAGCATGCCATTAAAGAAATACATAATTTTATATTGTATAGTTACACTAAATCCTATATTAAAAAAGGGAAAACTATCAATTTGGTCGTCGTACTTTCACGAAAAAGTCAATTAGGTCCTCATACTTTTAAAAAAATCAATCAGATCCTCAAACTTTGTAAAAACTTTCAATTGAGTACATTTGCAGATTACTTGCCATGTCAGCAGGTCACCCACTGACGTGGCACACACATGGCGATCCACGTGTGCACCGCATCATCATTAAATGGGTGACTGGACTTCCACGTGTGTGTCATGTCATCAAAGTTACTGCTGATTTGGCTGCTACTTCTGCGCCACGTCAGCTAGTGACATGTTGACATGACAAGTAATATGCAAGCTCGGTTCAATTGAACATTTTTACAAAGTTATGAGATTTGATTATTTTTAGGACCTAATTGACTTTTTTGTGATAGTACGAGAACCAAATTGACAGTTTTCCCTATTAAAAATGCGGATGACTAGATTTACATTGTTCTAACCCCAACATTAGCCTCCAATAAGTTATAAAACGGTAGATTTAAGTTTTTTTGGTTATTCAACAGATCGACATTAAACTTTTTCTAAATGAAGAGTTTCGAAATTAGACAAAACTTTATAGAAATTAATGCATATTACATGGATGAAAAGAAAAAGCTTACTATGCTCTTTGTAGGGATTTATAATAAAATGTATCATATAACAACTACTGTTAAATAAGTGGCAGTCGTCTCCCTTGCGCAGGGTTTTGAGATTTTGTGCGTTTCTTGTGCGCCGCAGTTTCGGTAGAAGAGAGGTAAGGTGTGCAAGGTTGGTGTTGCTACAGGAATCAAGGTAGGCTAATTATCCGAGGCAGGCTTTATTCTTGTGCAGGTTCGGGAGGGACGTCGAGGGATATGGCAGAGATGGAAGAGATGGTCAATAAATGCTACAACATGGCGCTCCAAGGTGATGAGGACGAGCTGGTCTTAGACGAGGAGATTGACGGCGAGGTTGATGCTTTGATCCGCATCGCTACTTTTCTAGTCGTAGGGACTATTCTCACAGACAAAATGGTGAAGTTCTCGGTGTTCAGGGATCTCATGACTTCTCTTTGGCGCTCGAGAAAAGGGATCTCTATCAAAGAGATTGGCCAAAAGAGGCACTTGTTCACTTTTTACCATATTATTTATATGGAATGTGTTCTTGGAGGAGGATCATGGCTGTTTGAATAAAATTTGATGATGTTGAGGGCGCTGAAACCAGGGGATATTCCTCTTCGGGTCCCCCTAAATGATGCTGAATTTTGGGTGCAGGTACCCTATGATTACATAAACTTAGGAGTGACTAGGAGAGTTGTTAATTTCATTGATAAAATTATTAGTTTTGATGAAAGCCAGTTTGAAGAACGATGGAACTCCTACCTGAGAATCAGAGTTTGTATGGATGTAGGAAAAGCCTTGAAAGTGGGCAAGACACTTAGGAAAGGGCGGGGTATAGGCCGCAAGGTGGATTTTAAATATGAAAAACTACCTAACTTTTGCTTTGTTTGTGGTATTATTGGTCATGCTGAAAGGTTTTGTCCTTTGGCTTATGAATATGAGAATAACGTTTTGATTAAACCCTTCAGGGTTGGTCTTCAGGCGGTAGTGGATCGAATCAGCAGGGCAAGCAATAGGCAGGTCCGGCCCAAGCCATGTTAGCCCAGTGCAACCGCACAGGGCCCGATTTTTTAAAGGGCCCAAAAAAAATTAGTTCGTAGTATTAGTTTTACCCCAGCCCAGCCCATTAGCTTTAGCCAAAAGCATTCTCGTCGCCTCCCAGAGTCCCATCCCGCTTCATCCCTGCTCCGCAGTCCGCACACCTTGTGCTGCACGCCCGCACTCTCGCACACCGCCACAAGGCCATGCAGCGCCCAGCAACGCCGCCCCTCTGCAGTCCAGCGGCCGGCAGCCACTAGTCCACTAGACCACCACGACCTACGGCCTGCCGGCCGCCTCCCGACCCACAGTGTAACACCCCCAAATTTACCACCCAAAACAATGATATATTTAAAAGAAATACTTTATTCATTCATCAAAGAGTTGAAGAAATACAGCGGAAGCCTAAAAGGGAAATGAGTGTTACCGCCACATCCGGTCATCTCTTAACCGAATGCACATGCAAACCAAAACAAAACAATAAAACTAATGAAATAGTAAATAAATGTTTATTTCATAACTAAATTTAACTAAGGCATCTTCTAATTCGTACTCAAGCTCGAGCAATCCATCAATCCACATAGGCATCCAACTCATCACCTGATAAAATTTAAGGGAGAAGAGAGAGACAAGAGAAATAACAAAAATTAGCTTTAGAGCTAAGTAAGTACTACCCAATCCCGTAAAATAACTAGGTTTGACTAAAATAGATTTTTATATAATATTATATAAAAATGACGCACTCCACCAAAATACTTTTCTCTTTGATTTTTCTTAAAATCACTTCTTTGCTAAAATCTTCAACTTCTCTTGGTAAATATCACAGAAATTCTTCTCTCTAGATTTCTTAAGAAAATCACTTATTCTCTAACTTCCTAGTAATTTAGAAGGGCGGTGCTCAACCTTTCGATTGAGCCCGGTGGACCGTGGTTACGGACGGCCACCCCGAACAAGTGCCGGTACCACAACTGCTCTTGCGGAAACGAAACGACTACCTTAAGTGTGCACACCCCCTAAAAGGGATTCCAAGCCCTCCGAGTAGTAAGTCATCCCGAGTGGTCAGAACCCAACCACCCCACCTCTAAAATTCTTGAATGATTAGGGACTACTACTATAACTTCTTCTTAAAAGGGATCATAGATCCAAATGTCACTTGAAACTTAAACTGTACTTCTTGGTAGTAGTAGCTCTAATCACCCTCCACATTTATCCGGATGTGGATAACCGACACCTCGGATTACTCCCGAGATGCTCACTTCTTATGAAAATGTAAATTTTATCTTCGCTTAAACAATAATTCAAAAATACTTCTTAATTTCTCTAAAAAGTCTTGAAGGTATTTAAAAATATTTAATACCCCAAAAGTACTTGATTTATATTTCTTAACTACCATATATATAATCTCCTCAAAATCACATAAACATAATTCAAAATTCACACCTAATCACATAATGCATAATAAGCATATAATACGAGGAAACAAATTTTGGATTGGCAGAGAAACTTACAATTTAGGGTTTATCCAAAACTAGTTCCAAAATAGTATTTAATACCATATTCAAAATAATCCAATAAGGATATTTATAACTCCAGAATATATATGTAAATTTTCATACCAAATTATACATTTAAAAATATATAATTTATCCCAAAAGATTTGATCTCACAACACTTTCCAAAAAGAGGGTTTAACCCAAACAACCACTTCCCAAAAGTAGCATTTACTACTACCACCAAAATAATCAAATTGGAGTATTCTGAACCCATAATATATTTTCAATATAACCAGTTATGATAGTCTCAAATCATTCTTCAACTCATATCAAAACAATCACCCAAATTTTCCAATCCCAAAAGAACAATCATAAAAAATCACAATTTTAGCCATGATAAACTGATTTGATAAATTCACCAAAAATCACACGTTCATAAATTCCCAGAAAAGAATACATCATCATACTAATACTATTATAGACGAATTATCCATAAAATTTCATAAAGAAACTCAAATCATAGCACAAACCCTAGTTTATACAATATAGGGGCAAAATAGTAATTTTGGTTGCAATAGTCCTTACCTCGAGGCTAGCAACGAATCCTAAACGTCAAACCTAGTTCGATGGATCATTCGCACGTACCTAGGAAGTGATAGGTTCGAAGGATCTCAATTTAGGAGAAAGAAATTTAGGAAACGGATGAACGACGCGAATTAGGCAACAAACGCACTTACCAGAATATTGGATTATTTGATCTCATCACTGGCATAAAATTTCGTGCTGGATACGTTAATATTGAAGAGTTGGAAGGGATAGAGCTTGAAGAGGCGGTCCTAGGGTTTTTTGAATGAGGAATATCGGATTAGGGATGTATTTATAGTGAATTTCCGAAGTTTGAGTTGCATTAGGATACAACAGGAACGCACGCGTGCATACCTTCCACGCACGCCGTGCGTGACCCCAAGACGCCCCAAACCTTAGTTTTTGCCCCGTTTCTTCCCCATTTGGACCTCCCCTTTGTCCCAAACACTAAACCAAACATAATAAACGACCTAAAGACCGTGTAAACAATATGAAACACAATTTTAATTATTTCCCAAATTCTCTCAAATTTTCGGGGTATTACACGCAGTCCCTCACGCTCCCGAGTCCCGCCTCCTTGACCGGTCAGTCATTGATTTTCAATTATTTTATTCATTTAGTTGCTAATCCTTGTGAATTTTTAAATTATTGAATTGATGAATTGTTTGTTGAATTTTTGAATTATTGAATTGATGAATTGTTTGTTAAATTCTTGTGAATATTTGAATTATTGAATTGATGAATTGTTTGTTGAATATTTGAATTATTATTAAATTGATGAATTGTTGAATTGTTGTTATTTGTTGATTTTTTGCAGTTAAAGTAAATCATTATTTGAATTCATAATAGATGTATAAATGTGCTTAGCAATTAAAATTTAAGAAGTGGTATAAATATATTATTAGGTAACTTAAGGTCGATAAATTTTAATTATACACTACTTTGTTATTCATGTTTTCACCCTAATTTTAAACTGAATATTAATTTAAAATTTATAAACATGTACAGGATTATAGAAGAATTTCAATAATTGGTAATAATTATGTTTCCATATAAATACCGATCCGTTTATGAGAAGTGTCAAAGGAAAAGAAGACTTGACGAGTTAACCCAGTCTTAAAAAGGAGCTCTTGATAAGTTTATTATTAAAGAAGTTTGAGATGTTCAAGAGGGTGAACAACAAGATGTAAATGTTGAAAATAATGTTGAAATTTTGCCAAAGGAAAAGATAGGGGCAACAAGAATTTTGAATTCTTTAAAAGAAATGAATTGTTTTCCAAATGCCTTTATTGCATACAGAGTTTTGCTAACCATTCTGATTACAGTTGCCTCGGCAGAACGAAGTTTTTCCAAGTTGAAGTTGTTGAAGTCCTACTTGCGGTCAACTATGTCACAAGAGAGACTCAATGGTTTTGCATTGATATCCATAGAATCTGAAACACTCGAACAAATTGACATTGCAAGTTTGGTAGATGACTTTGCATCTAAATATGCTCCAAGAATGTCTCTTTTTAAATAAAATGTAAGTTATTAATGACTATTTTCATTTTAATCATTGATGTCTCTTTTAAGACAATTTGCTTGTGTTGCAACTTGAAAAAAGACCCAAATTTTATTATTGCACAGGGCCTCTGTTTTCTCGGGACCAGCCCTGGCAATAGGGTAATACAAGTGCTAGAATTTGGATAACTGAGTCACCAGGGCAGCATAGGACAATCATTGTGGTAGATGTTAGCACAATGGGAGCAAAGGAGAATGAAGTAGCAGATATGGAAGAGGGGGCGGGTCTTCGACTCAAAATCTGGAGAGCATAAGCGCAGAAGAATGTGGGAGGAGCACCAGGACAAGGATTGCGGAGGGGATAACATGGCGCTGAACTTCTCAAAAAATGAAGAGGGGGCGGGTCTTCGACTCAAAATCTGCCGAGAGTTATGAAGATGCTCCAGGATAGGGGAGGACGGGGGCAGTTTGGTCAGTGTTGTGATGGTGCAACTGAGTTTCCACTATGTTATTTTCTTTCTTGTATTATTTCGATCAGACAGTTTTTGTTGTTTCCTTTTACTTTTATTTTTGTCAGACTCTTACATTAAGTTTGAGCGATGAGAGGTCTATTATTTTCGCGTTAGGCTCATTTAGACCCATTATAAGATCAGCTGAGTCATATATTGTTTTTTTCAGGATGATTGGCTCTAATTTTGATTTGAGTGTAGACGGTTGAAAGTGATCCTTTTATCTTCTTGTGGTGTTGCTGAATGTTTTGATATCAATTTAGGTTGTACAAATTAATTTTCATGTACCTTTTCAATTTACATTATTTATAAATAATGTAATGTCCTACAACTGTAGATGTTCTTCATTTACTACCCCATCCTGTGTGGGATTAAAAGTATTCCTCTATCGTCATTGCATTATCTCTTGTCTTGATAAATGAAAATTTTAATGGAAAGTTATGCCTATAAGAAAAATTTATATGAACCACATTTTACGTGTCAAAAATTGAGCAAGATATTATACGTAGTATGAGGATATACAATCAGAAGTTAAGAAGAATGAATTTGAAATAATAAGAAAAATATTATATTGAAATTTGAAAGCGACGAAATAAAATAGGGAGGAGCTGATCTGATCTCATAAACTAAGATGTACTTGTGACATTAATTTCATAATTTGAAATAATAATTGAACTCATTTATGAGGGTTTAATACACCAAACCCTGTTATATGAAAATTCAGTGCATTAACCTTATGTAATTTAAAAAATGCGTCAAACTCATTTGTGTTTT